GATGTGTATAAGAGACAGATATTACCTCGAACGAATACACAATAAACTCGTAAATTTTTTTCTCAACTTTTTCACAAAAAAAAAAAAAATTTAAATAAAAAAAAAAAGAAAAAAAAATGGTACAAAAGAGAGAACCGAGACAAGAGCAAACTATTTATTCACCATATTATTATCCAAATTCTTCTCGTTATAATTATCCTACAAAGATTGGTGGTGATGAAGAACAATATACCGAAGCAAAGTTTTCTTTTCCCCACTGGGATGACGAAGTACAACCCTACAAACCTCTCCGCAGAAGAGCTTCTACTCCCTTTATTAACGCGGAATATAGTGATTACTTTAATAAATCACTTTCTCTTGATGATGAAGATGAAGATGAAAACGAAAACGAAAACGAAAGCGAGGCAATTTGTGAAAAAATTCAGAATGATATAGATTTAGCACGTAAAGATCAAAAAACTGATTACGACCAATTTAGAAAAGCTTATGCTACATTTCATGATGATATACGTTCTTTACAACGCGAAATTGAGGCGATTGAAGCCGCTTGTTTGAAAAATGGTTTCGATTTAAAAAGAGGTGTAGCAACTGGAACAGCTGGAGCAACTATGAACGATGATGGTACTGAAATTTATTATGAGCCTACTTGTACAGTAGCTGATTCTCATCATTATAATAATAATAGTAATAATTATAATAATAATGTAAAAGAGGGAAATCGTTTATTATCTTATATACCTTCTGCCACAGCTGCGGCCGCGGCTGCTCGTGGTATGATTGCAAAGAAACGTAGTTCTCCTTCTTTATTATATAGAAAAAAGCAACAACAACAACAAAATTTTAATGATAATAACAATAACAATAACAATAACAATAATCGTAGGTGTTTAGGTATAGAGGATGGTTGGATACAGGAAAGAGTTCATCAAAATGAAGGGATTCGTTGTTAATATTTTCTATTGGGTGGTGTTTTAGCGGTTTTAAAAAAAACTCATTTTTTTTTTCTTTTATATACTGTATATTATTTACAGGTCAAAAACAATTTGAACAATAGATTTATATATATGTGTTGTATGCATGAATATATAATTTTTTTTCTTCTTTAATCATTTTTTTTTTATATTCACCATTCCTTCTCTTTCCTCTGTATATAGAAGCACCCTCTTTAGTTTCAAGTATATTATTTTCTACCTTCATATTATCATTTCATTAAAACTATTATATTCATCTAAATTCATAATATTCTCTCTTCTTTTTTTAATAGTCTATTTGTTTTTCTAGTTGTAAATAAAAATATTAGTGTTTTTTTTCATTTTTTAAATGTTTGTAAAAGTAATAAACTAAAATATTATAAATTTCAAAATTTCAATAATTTTAATAGATTAATGACTTAATTATAATTAAAATGACTATATTAAAATAACAATAGGTACCTTTTTTTTATTTCGCACTAACATTATAAAGTAAATTTAAATCACCTTCATTATCCTTTTTATTCTTAAATCAGATAATTAAATCAAATAACTTGTAAATTTATAATAAAAACTTAACTGTAGTGATCAAGTATATATATACAATATAAATTTTTTTAACAAATATACAATTTTTTGCATATACAGTATATATAATAAAATTATGAATTTATTATATAAGTAAAATTCTACTATAAATAAATAAATTACATATATAAATACTATAACAAATTATTATTTAGTATAATAGAAAAAATTGATGTAATACTAGAAAACAGAAACTGTTGTAAAGTTTAAAACAAAAAACTAATATTTACAATTTTATTGGATGATAATCATATGGTAAATAGAGAAATTTATGTAATCAATTTTTTTTCATAATACATAGATATATATTATCTTTTCTTTGCTCCAAACAACAATAAAATAAAAAAAAATCAATACATTTATAAATATTTATAAAGGTAAAGAAAACTTTAAAATATAAATCATCCATTTTTTTAATAAATAAATTAAATACTTATTTCATAAATACTAATATCAAATTGCTTTTTATATTAAAATTTTTATTTTACAAAAATCTTTGATATATAATATATTTAACAATAAAATTGTAATATTTATAAATCTTTCTATATTTACAAGTATTATTAAATCACCAATCAGATTTTTAAAAAATTAACTATATGAAAAGTTATAAATATTTAAAATATATAATATTTATATAATTAATTGGAATTTCAGATACCTGATTAAAATAAACTTTTAGTTAAAATCTTTATTTTTTATTAAAATTTAAAAAATCATTTTGGTAAATATCTTAAAAAGTTCAATAAAAAAATCCACAATATTATTACTAGAGATGCTAAAAGTTCAGTTATAACCAATTATAACTAGTTTTTCAGTTCAGTTACAATTCAGTTTTAGTCTAAGACTAATTGATTAATTGCCAATTTTATATATAAAAAACTGACAAAAAAACTGATCAGTTAATCATATATTTCAAAAGAAAAAAATGTTTCTTTTATAAGAATACTATTAAAAATTATGATTTTGGTGTTTATATATATATATAGTATTCTTATTTTGAAATAATAAGAAAATTTATCTTTTATATGTTGATCATGTGATTTTTCATTCTGCTGAAAAAAATTACGAAATTGACATTATTATCATAAAAAAAATTATAACTTTAAGAAATATTATCAAATAAAATTTCCTCTATAGTCACTCCTGTTATAGTCACATTCTACTATATAGTCACACCAGTTGAATGTTCAAAACACTTTATTATTAAAAACTATCTCATATAGTCACAATCTATTTATAGGCACTATTATACCTATCCTCAAAAATCTTATTGTCCGGAGCGTAGCGAAGGACTATATAATTTACGAACGTCGATGACAATTAGTGTCACGTGACGATTTCCGGTTGTCCGCACGCATCACGTCATTGAAATTTCGTGTTACATCAGATGAAATAAATTTGTGATACATCAGATAAACAACTAACAAGATAAAGGTTTATTTTTTTCGCTTCGGACTTACAACGGTTTCCGTTTCCTAGTATTAAGAAGAACCACTTATAATCACAGTTATATAAAGAATATATTAAATAACTTGGCATTTAATAATCATACAAAGATGTATCATAGCTTGTTAGAATTATCTCACTAAGATAAATCAAATGGTGGTAGTTTTATCCTTTTGCTGTGCAAACAGTCTTGTGACTTTATCTTTTATTTATATTTTAACTTCAAAAATTTTAAAATCGAACAATATTACAAAATAAAAAAATAAACTAATAAAAAATAAAAAGAATAGCTTCACGACTCATACAAGTAAAAAAATCTAAACTAAAATAAAAATTAAAGAAAGAAAAACTAAACTATTATAGAATCGCATACCCCAATTTTACCCAAAGGCCAATGTGGTTCAACTATCCAACATCCAAAAATCCAGTCCGTTACCAGAAAGAGACCCTAAAAGGTTGAACTGTTAAGCGGCACAGAAAATCCAAGTGCGAGATCTAAGATCCACCCTGAATTATAGAAAATAATATCCAAGAAATCCAGGAATCCTGAAAAACTGACGCCAAAGAAGAGTTGTAATGATGAGGTGAAATATTAGAAAGGTAAACGATAGAAGAGCCAAGTTTTATCCTTTTACTGTGTAAACAGTCTTATGACTTTATCTTTTATTAAATTTTTTAAATTGAAAATAATATCAAACAATATATAAAATAAAAAAATAAACAAATAAAAAATAAAAAAAGTAGTTTCACGACTCATACAAGTAAAGAAATCTAACCTAAAATATAATTAAAAAAAGAAAAACTAAACTATTACAGAATCGCATACCCCAACTTTACCCAAAGGCCAGTATGAGTCAACTATCCAACATCCAAAAATCCAGTCCGTTACCAGAAAGAAATCCTAAGAGGTTGAACTGTTAAGCGGCACAAAAAATCCAAGTGCGAGATCTAAAATCCACCTCGAATTATAGAAGAGGATATCCAGGAAATCCAAGAATCCTGAGGAACTGTCGCTAAAGAACAGTTATGATGAGGAGAAATAACAGAGGAAGAAACAGTAGAAGGGTCTCGGGTCTTTGAGGAAGCAGAAATTCCTTGAGATTCTTCCCAGGCGTGGAAAAAAACATTTTGACACAGCCAAATTTCACCATATAATTCGACTTGGAAATCGTTAAGAAGAGGAAAAAGAGTCTTATATACCACAGAGAGGGGAAAATAATTCTTCAAAAATGATGTTAGGTGAGCAGGGAGCAATCCTCTTATGAGCCACAAATAGGAGGATGAAGGAGTTTCAAATTGCCAACAATTCAGTGCAGAGAAATCATCTTGGAATGAGATAGGCAGAATCTTTAAAGCTGAAAAGGTAGTAAAACAGCTATTCCAGAACTTTATAATTTCATTACGGTGTGTTAAATACGGATTAAGATCAGGAAGAATATAAGGACAAGTCCAAAGATGATTCAAATCTTCAGGAGCAGAATTGCATTGTGGGTAGAGCCAGTCAGAAGAATAAAGGTAAGGTTTGTGTTGTTGTAGTATGGCCAAGGTAGGCAACATGTCTAAAAGAAGTTTGATACAGAAAATCCAAAATTCTGGACGTTCGTTCTTATGTGAGGCAAAACCTTTGATACAGGAAAGACAGAAATGAATTCCAGCCCAATCGAAAAGTATAGGAGGACCTAACGCAGTGAAATGTGCCAATAAACAGAAAAATAAAAATTGCGAGCATTGGCTATAGATCATAGAAAATGGCGAATATTCTTATCAATAGGCAGGGAATTGAAGGTCAATACACATGGCACTTGACAAAAAGCCAAAGGTGAGAAGGTAGGCTGAGGAGAAGAATATGTGACTTTGGCTAAAGAATCCACTTGTATGTTTAACGCATCATCACTGTGAGCAGGGACTTTGACCAAATCAATACTCAAATTGAGGTCCAAAAGAAAATATCTAATAAAGAGCCAAAAAAGATGGTTAGGTTGTCAAAGTAACTTCAAAGAGAAAGAAGCATCAACAAAACACTTCTAGAGTGTGATCAATTCAGCACAATTTGTATTAATCGTTACTGATGAACCAGGAGTAGTGTTTGGAATCATGTAACAGTTATTCAAATAACTCGAGTATATTCGAGTATTCGAATAAACATAGTGGTTATTCGAGTATTCAGATATAGTATAGTTAAAATTCTAATTGGGCATTATCCTTAAATTTAACTGAGTTAAAATCATAATTCAGGCTAAAAATTATGTAAATCATTACTATAAAAGGAAATTTAACTTATTCGAATATTATTCGAATATACTTTATAAATTTAAATGAATACTTGAATATATTCGAATATATTCGATTCCAAATACTAACCAGGAGAAAGAGCATGTAATTCAAAAATAATGGCATAAATTTCTGATCATAAAGCTGAAAGGAAACAAGAAGGAATGCTCAAGGATGACGAGTCCAATATAAATCCATCATTGTCTAAGGCTAACCAAGCGGAGGCCATAGAAGGAGGAGAAGAATCTATTTCTCAGTGGAACGAGCCATCAATATATAGTGTTTGTGTAGAAGAAAACAAAGAAGGAATATTAACATCATCAATCGTCAAAACCGGGCAATGCAAACCAGTGGATGATGTAGAAGGTGGATTATTCAAATGGGTAAGAGCCAAGGAAATAGTATAACTCCAAGAGGTAGACAGAGTTATGGGGAGGTAGGCTGCAAATACTTTGGCATTCTTAGTAGGATAACCAGTAGTTTCAGAAAGAGAGACCAGGAAGAAACATTTCTCGCTATTATAACGTTATTTAATCGCAGATTTCTTGGATAAGGCCAAAATGTTATAAGAGCAACCAGGATAAGGATTATAGGATCGTTCATCGGCGGAGGTGGATACAGGGAGCTAATGAGACATTATAGCAGAGTCTTTTTTCCTGTAAGTGATACACACACGGCCAACGGATAAAGTATGGATAGCGGAATTAAAATTAATAGCCTATTGAGGGTAAAAACTATAATCTTTAGTAGAATCATCTAATAAACAAGGTGAAGCTAAAGTAAAAGAAGGATTAATATTATACGAAGATAAAAATAAAGAAGATAAAGAAGAAAAAAGAAAATTATTTTTAATATAATTAAACCAAGTAGGAATTCGTCCTTTTTTTCTGACAATACAAAGATGCTGAAAATCAAACCAATTCATAAGGAAACGGCTACAAGGTGAAGCTAGTTGAGCAAGAACAAAAATGTGCAAAATTTTCCAAAGTTTCCAACTTTTCTGAAAAATAGACAGTGGTAAAATGGTTCGCAATAGCAGAGC